CTCAATTGTTTGCGGCAAAAAGGACCTAGAGTACATTTAATTGGTGAGCCATTTCTAATCTGTGGAGCATAACACTAATTTTTGTCATAAAGTTGCATATATTCTTTAGACTATTTCTATTGATGAATTATTAATTTTATGAATTTTATTAAACAATGAGTACTTAGGAAAAAAATCACAAAAATAAAGTAGTGAATTTTCAATATTTATTGAGCATATAAAAAACATCAAAATTTTCAACATCAACTATTTTTTGGTATACAAAGTCTAAAATAGAACACCATAAATAAATTCTTATATGAACTACAATGAAAATACCAATAGCACTTTCCAAAATACAATCTTTACTTCAATAATCACATGTAAGGTAGTCTACACATAAGACAACAGTGCATTCCATACACACAGATTGCTTACAATGACAGCTCACGTGTTTTGGTTTCCTGGCCTTTTTGTAGGACATACTTGACATCTTACTGGTCTTGTTGTTTTGTCAGGAGTTTCTTTTATACAGTGTGTAGTTAACAGGAACGTAAAATAACAATAAAATACGTAGTAAATTCTTAGTATGCATTGTGCTTTATAATAGACATCAACATTTTCACATCAGCTGTTTACTTGCTTGCAAAACCTAAAAGGTATCAGAAATAAAAACCTATGTGAACTACAATGTAAACACAAAGTTTACCACAGAAATAATCTTTGCTTCAACTGTCACACCCAAGGCATTCTTCACACATGACAACTGCATGTTCCATACACAAGTATCACTTACACTGATAGCACACAGTTTTGTTTTCCTGTTCCTTCTTGTAGGGCAGTTGAAAGTTTTTTGCTTTTCCTGTTGTCATAGGAGGTCTTTGTTATGCTGTGCCTGCCTGTTCACCTGTCAGCTCATTAGTGTGCTCCACAATTTTTCTGTGTAATTCCCTAGGCAGAAACATTTTGTTTTTCCTCTGCTGTAAATGTGTTCCAGTCTTAATCCTCAAAGAAAATTTATCTATATTTTGCACTTGTTATTTCTTTGTAAATTATCAAACTATGCCACACATGTTTAGGATCAAATAAAACATAACCATTGGCCAATGCTTTGTGTTTTGAGTGACATCATATTTTCTGCATAACTCATCAACATCTATTCCAGGGCTGGGGATTTAGCTCAGTGGTTCCGGCACCTGCCTCACAAGCACAATGTCCCGAGTTCGATCCCTGATACCAAAAAAACCCCAAACCAAAATCTACTCCACCTTTGGTTGTGTTGTAGAACATTTCCATCTCAGGCTTCCATTTTGTTCAATTTTGTTCCATTTGTCAATACTTCTATTATGATGGAATGTTGACATCAGCAGTACCAGTTTGTTTTTCTTTGCCATATTTTCTATATGTAAATCTTTCTGAAACCGAAAGATTGTACTCTACAATTTTGTTTTGAAATTGCAACATTTCATTTGGAATCTCTGCTTTGTTCCTGTGTACAGTTCCTGCACTGGTCAGCTTGTGCTCTGTTAGCAAATGTAGTATCAACTGGAAACTGATAAACTAATTGTAAAATGTCACATTCTAATTAGTTTGGGAGATTGGAGCAACAAGCCTGTTAACATCATTTGGTTTATTACTGTATGAATAAGGACTTGATAGCTGAGTTTCAGGATAAATGTCTAAACTGAAAGCATAAGTCTTTGCAGTTACAAGGCCATAAAATTTTATGCCATATATTGACTCAATACTTTTTCCATAATTTTTTTTTAACATTCCTGCGATTACCATGAGAAATCCCTGCTGAGTACAGCAGACCTATGAATGTTTTCAGTTCTGGAATCATAATAAATACATTTTTGAATATGGCTATTGGTGCATAGAGAACATTTTACTTGCATTTCAGCCTTTGTGTATTTCATAGCATCTTGTAGCATTTCGTCTGTTACAATTTCCAACATTGAATAGCAGTGCTGGGATTGTCCAATACATTTCACCCCTGCCAAGACCCTCACTATATTTTTGGACCTAGTTCTAACACTGGATTGTTCCATTTGGTTGTATGGCCATTTTGCAACATTTTGACTAGTCAAATATGTACTCACATTGCTGTTTTGTCATTTGAATCAAGGAGGTCTGCATTCCCTGAGTCTGTATCAGTCAATTCTTGTTCCATTTCACTGTCATAGAAACTTTGGCTCACATGGCCAATGTCAACGTCCTCCTCCTCCTCATACACCCACACCACGCTTCTGTTATGAAAACATGTATTTTACCATAACAGATCCTCTTCCTCATCCATGCATGAGTAATCTGATGAGTTACTTTTGACCTCCTTAAAAACTTGCAAATCTCATTTTTTATGTGCCATTGTACTGAATTCAGCTACTTCTGCCAGAAAAATCAAAAGAAAACTTTTTTTTTTTTTAACAAATCTTGGAGTGGTGTGGGTCTGCCGGACCCTCTGTGATGCTCATGTAAACATACACAAAACATGGGTAAAAATCCCATTTTGCCACTTTTGCACATGTGCACACACCTTGCCATTCATCATACCCAGTGGATAAACATATAGATTGTTTCCTGTATCCTCAGGGAAAGGTACTGAGCAGCACAGCCAGCTAATTACACAAAAGTACAAATTTACAGTAGGAAAGCAAGGGATGGGTCTGCTGGACCCAGTGTCATGCTCTGAGAGCTAAAGAAACTACCCAGTAAGACAATCACCCACCATCCCAGACAGAGTGAAAGAGGGAGAGAGAACCATTGGCTCAGTTGTAATCATGTGTTTGGTGTCACGAATCACTTGTAATGGAAGACACTCATTGTTTATCGTGTTAAAATTTATTAGAAATACTTGCTTGTCTTGGGGAACACTTGCAGAACAAGTTCCTCACAACTCAATGTTTTAGTGTAGTTATTTGTCAATTAAAAGTAAAAAGTTAAATACCAGCTAGGGAATAAATACACTAAAAGATTTGGTATTAGTTTAGTTGAAACTTTACCTTTGTTGAAACTAAAAGCTGAATTATTAACTTAAAAATTAGATTTTTCTACTTGATGTTGCTCTTTTGGTTCTAATTTGAGAAGGAATAGTCTCAAAAAGAAAAAAGATTTTTTAATATAGAACACAGGAATGTTGCAATGGATATGCTCATCAGGAGCATAGAGACAGGATATTAGATTAGATAGATATTAGAGATAGGAGTTTCAATGGTGAATCCTACAGACTGTACACATGAAAACTACACCCTTATTCTGTTCAATGTCATCACAATGCTTGTTGATCTGGTTATATTAATATAATTCTTTAAGCACTAATTTTCACTGATTCTTTGTTCTTTATAATGAATGCACTATTTGCTCTGGTAGTGGCTAAAGGCCTTCTTTTGTAAGAATTTTGTTCTATCAGAGTAAAGTGTTTTAACTCCTCCAAATTACTACTCCCTGAGATATTTTAATGCAGTCATCTAAATTCCCAAACCTTCCACCAAAAACAAGTTTGGAGGGCCAGGCCAGGGATTTAACTCAGTGGCACAGCGCCTGCCTCGAAAGTGCAAGGTTCTGAGTTTGATCCCCGGCACCAAAAAAAAAAAAAAAAAATTTTGGAGTTTGTAAAACTAAAGAATTTACCAGAGAGGTTGTCACTTGTGTTCCTTAAGCAGGTATTTAAATGCTCGGCCCTGTCAGGAACCTGGCAGACACCATCCCAATCCTCAGTGTAAGACAGGCACTTGGAAGATTTAACAAGGCACACAGGATGAGGGTGTCCCCGAAGCGACGACTCGGGTAGGTACGGGGAGCAGGGAACACATAGACCAGCTACGTCTGGGAACCTGCGGGAAAGCGGCAGGAGCATGGTCAATAGCCAGGGAGGTCGGGAAACTCCGGAGGAAAGATCCTGGGGCCCAGGATCTCGGAAAGGGAAGAGGGCATGGACCGGAAAGGGCGCGCAGCGGTAGTACGCGACACAGACCGGTAGCCAGGACCGCAGGGCGGCGCGCTCCATCCCAGGTTCTGGGAAGGCCAAGACCACTTCAAAAGAGGCGGATGCAGAGAGCAGCAATAGAAGACAGGGGGTTCCTGAAATCGCCCCAAGAAAAATGATACGGTCAAAAAGCCAATGCCTTTGCAAAACACAAAGAAGTCTGTGAAGAACCGCTAGGGCAGGTGTCGAAGACTGGCAAAAATTGTCACCGGGCTGGGGAGTTAGCTCAGTGGCGCCGCGCCTGCCTCATACGCGAAAGGTCCTCAGTTCAATCCCCTGTACCGCAAAAAAAATATATATATATATACACACACACACACACCGTCACTACCTGTCCACAAAGTGGAGCTATTTAAATCAGTCGTGAGCAGGTTCAACTTTCTTGCGTGGGCCTGTGCTCGCGAGTACTCCCCTGGGCTGGATGCGATGAGGGTCCCGCCCAGTCAATATCCAAGAGCGGAGCCAGATGGGCTCCCACACTGCGGACGCTACGTCCTTCCCGCAAATGTACGGCAGGTGGGCAAACAACCCGCAGGGTACGGACACGCTTTTAAACGTCACCCTGCGATACTGATGCAGGCGAACGGCCTCGTAAATCTCAAGCCCGGGCCTCCAGGAGCCCTTTTTATAGCTTTCGCGGTGTAATCCGCCAGGCCGCCAAAGGGGAAGCCCAAAATCCCTGCATGGCGCAGGCGCACAGAAAGCATAGTGGGCCGTGGGCGGAGGGCAGAGCGGGCAGGGTGTTTCCCAGAAGCCTCTGCCACACAGAGCAGCCCTTCCTCCCGCTCTTTGGCGCGCGACGTCACTCTAACCACCAAGCTCTCCGTCGCAGCGACGGTTTGCCGGCGCCCCCCTGCGGTCCCTTTGAGCACGCTTATATGAGCGCAGGGCCGGAGGGTGGGAGGAGAAGGCTGTGTGGCGCGCTCCAAAGCTGCCGTCGTCACCGTAGCGCGCCGACCTGTGGCGGCGCGGCTGAGCCGCGCGGGGAGGGGGAGGGGGATGAGTGCGGCTGGGAGGGAGGAGGCCAGACAAGGCGGGGGAGGGGGAGCAGCGGTGGCGCAAGCCGCGCGGAGCAGCGCAGTTCGGGTCGGCTCTCTGCTTGGCCGCTGGCTGCGACCCGGCCCGCCGACCCTGCGTCTCCGGATACCTCTGAGCGGACGGGGAAGTCCATGTTGCGGAACTTGGCGTTGGAGTGACGGAGCCCGAGCTTGCTGCGGTGGGGCCACCGCCAGGGGAGCGAGCGCCTCGACCTCGGCCTGAGGTAAACACGGGCCGGCCCGGGGCGGGGTGGGTGGGTTTGGCGGCTGCCTGGCGAGCTGGGGCCCGGGCCCGGCACCGAGTAGGGGAGCCGGCCCAGTGATCGCAGGCCCGACAAAGTTTGGGGATCTCGGGCGGCCCAGGCAGCGTCCTGCGCTGGTGGGAAAGTTGGGGCCGCTCTCCGGCGGGCGAGGCTGCAGCCCGGAGGCCCTCTGCGCTCGCGAGGGAGGCCCCGCTCTGGCCGCCGCTGCCGGCTGTCGCGCCCCGTCCCATTTCCTCCCTGTGGCCTAAGCGGCCCCTGCTGCCGGGCAGGCGATTTCCGTCCCCGCTCGAGGGGCTTCCCGGTGGTGCGAACGGCCAGACAACCGGTCAGCAGCCGGACGTGTCGGGTGCTGAGCTCCGGCGCTCCCGGCCCCGGGTCTACTTTGCTAAGGAGTCTTTGCTTTTGTCGCCAGCGTCTAAACCTGCTTGTGAAACCAAACTTTGCTCTGCCGTGACCTCTCGAGTGTGCGAATAGAGAACATCCGGAGCTTCTGAATATCAGCCTTTTACCCGTGTCCTGAACTTCAAAAATACTCCTTCTCCTTCCCACTTCATCTTTTAAAATCTCCTGCTTGGGCTGACAACCAAAGGGCCGGGGGTCTAAATTAAGCCTCATTAGTCGCCTCTTTTTGAGCCATTTAAGAGATTTCTTACACGTACCTGGCGGTCTTGCCCCCCCCTACGTATTTTGAAAAATTGCTTTAAAAGACCCTTGATTTAGAAAACTTGATGAAAACACAGATTCAAATCTTGAATTTGAAAAATACACCCCAGTATATTTCTGAACCGTATTCTAGTGTCTACCGGCTGAGTGTTATTCATTTTGAATTACATTTTGACTAACATCTTTAAACTACCAGAGAATTAAGATTTTTCAGCAAAACGGATGAAAATAATTCTAATGTGACGCTTTGGCTAGTGGATGATCTATTTATCCGAGTTTGGGAATTTCTTCTGAGTTTTGGGAAAACCCTATCAAATAATGTATTATTTTCTCGTTTTAAAGCAAAAGTTAACTAATGCATATAACTACATACCTCAGCAGCAGAATATTGAAAACAATAATTTTTTTTTCTATTGGTAGGATTGAACCCAGGACCTTGAGCATGCTGGGCAAATGAACTACCACTGAGCCACTTACTTCCCCAGCCCTGAAATACATTCTTAAATAACTATGGGTTTCTGTATCTTACCGGTAATTTCAGTATTATTTAAATTTCAACATGTAATCAAGTCTCTTTCCAGAGCCTTGGCTTTTTTTCTGCTTTTTCAGACTTGGCTTAATCATTTTTACTCTTCTGCTATTGGACAAAACCTGTATGAAACAATTTGCAGGCCTTTTGTTTTTGTTGATTTAACTGAGCAGGAGAAGTGAAATTTTGAAACTTTAAAAAAAATGGTGTATTAAAGATAATCTGAATTTCTTTTATGTTGTGTTTTAAAAAACTAGCAATTCTTGGTGTAGCTACACTTAAGCTGTAAAAATTTTTGGTGCTTGCAAATAGATTTGCAGTCAGTTTTGTAGTGACAGTGACTTTTTTGACTGAGAACTTTGAATACATTTTAAGATTTCAGTGGGGTAAAATTAGAATGTTTGTTTACTGTGACTGCTCTTGCTGTGAAGACATTCTTTAGTATGTCAAAGGGAAAGAGTAATGTTATGCTCCTTGAAAAGGTGTCATGGAGGAAATTTTAAGGAGAATTTTTTTTTTTTTACCTGTACTATCTTCATGTGTGATGAGATTCAATTTAAGATCCAAACTAACCCAAAGTACTAAACCCAAAGGGGTTAATACTAACTAATCCCTAGGAAATTTTCTTGAAAACTTGTGCTGTTAATCTTTAAAGGTAGATTGAATCAGGGTGGTTACACAATGCTGTTGATTCCTCATCAGTAGCCTCTAGTAATAAGAAAGTACAACGTTATACTATCCATCAACTCAATACTGTACTTTTTAGGTATATTACGAGACAGTCATAGCCATAAAAGCAATAAAGTTGCTGGGGATTTAGCTCAGTGGTTCTGCTGCTTGCCTCGCAAGCACAAGGACCTGAGTTGGATCTCCGGTACCAAAAACAAACAAACAAACAAAATTTAGAAAGTCAGTCATAGAATAATTTTCATTGTAACTTTCCATTAGCAAGTTCTTCCAGCATCTGCTCTTCTCTTTCAGTGATGTAAATGGGATCTTGACTTACTTTGCCCAGTAAAAGGAAGAAACTTAAAACACAAATTCATAACATTCTCTTTCTTAAGAATAAATAGCCTTGTATCTTAAGAATAAATAGTCTTGGGCGGGGGATTTAGCTCACTGATTCTGCTGCCTGCTTCACAAGTGCAAGGACCCAAATTCAATCCCCGGTACCAAAAAAATAAAAGAATAAATAGCCTTGCTTTTGAACAATGAGCTGACTAGTAACATTGAGTAGAGCCCAGAGTTAAAATATTCCAGTATCGCTGTATGTTTCCAAGACTTAACTTTTCATTTTTTAAAGTTGTGGCACATAATTCAATATAAAATGTGAACACTTATTTGCAAAATAACTTCCTATAAAATCACTGTGACCTTTGCTGATTGTAGTCTTTAACACTCAATTGCCAAAGTGATCCTAAGAAATTCATGTCACTTCCCAAATCATAGACGTTATTTTGGCTTACAAGGTTCTGTGTTGTCTCTTTTCTGATTCCAGCTCCTTACTCTTTCTCCAGTCACATTTCTACTGTGTTGCTGAGATCTTCTCTATAAAACAACAGTTGTCTCCCTACATTTCTTATTCTTTTAAAAAAAATTTTCTTAACCATTTTATGTCATTTTTCTCCGTATCATTTTATCATGTTCCAACATAATACTATTTATTTTACTAACTTGTTTATTCTACTTCTTCATACTAATGCAACTTTTGTGAAAACAGGGTTTGTCATTTTGTCACTTTTATCCCTAAACATCTGAACAATGGCTGGCATGTAGGGGGTACTTATTAAATATTTAATAGATTAATATGCTTTTAGCTATAAACATTAAAACTAGTAATTGTGAGCTGGGCATAGTGACACACGCTTGTGATCTCAGCACTCGGGAGGCTGAGGCAGGAGGATTGCTGTGAGTTTGAGGCCAGCCTGGGCTACATAGTGAGTTCAGGGCCAGCTTGAACTACAAAGGCAGACCCTACCTCAAAAAAAAACAAAACAAAACTAGTAATTGTGGTTTGAAACTTTAGATGATGTCTTAGTTTGTTGCATCACTATGTGTGGACCATATTCAGGAAAAGGATACATATTTTTAAAGGCAATTTGTGGCCTAAAAACTAATTTGTCAAAATATAGAAGGAACTAAGGATGCTTAGCTAAGAGTAGAGTGGTATAACTATCTTATTATTAAAAATGTAATTTAAAAGCCACATTAGACTTATTTTTAGTAGTTTCAGTAGGTAGAACTAGGATACTGTGACACATATTAAAAGGAGGGGAGTCAGCAAGCAAGGGTGGATCTTGAAGGTTGGAAGCCTTTTGACAGTCTGGAAGAGATGGGGATAGCTTGAATTAGGTTAAGAATTGTGGAGATGGGCTAAGTGGATGAGATTTGTGATTAATGGGCCTCAATCAATAGATTGTAGGTACAGGAGAGAAATTTCAAAAATGACTCCAGGTTTATGTAGCTGGGCTGATGCTGGTACCAAGTGAGGACCGGCTCCTTTTGGTTTTCTCATACTGAGTTTGAAGTGCTTTTGGAGCTTTCAAGTGGAAATTCTATGTAGGCTATTAGATATATGGCTTTAAAATTCAGAGGAGTATGGGCTGGAAATAGATAATTGGAGAAACTATAAGAAAGGATGAAATTGCCTAGGAGAGACAATATCTTTGAAAAAAGGTACCCTAGAATGGAACCACAATAGCCTCAAGCATAAACAGTTTACTGGAAGACTGTTAGGTCTCAATATTGTGAAGGTCAGAGAAGCAGAAGGTAAATGTGTTGCTACAGAAACCAAAGGAAGAGCGTGGTTCAAGGGGCCTGTAATCAGTAGAAAGAGTTGAATAAGGTAAGAACTGTCAAATTTTTCTTTGGATATAACAACATGGAGGTCATTGACCTTTTTGGTGCTCCTATAATTGCATAATTACTGTAGTACTTAGTACTACTGAAAGTACTAAGATCAAAGTTTAAGAAATCCATTTTACAGAAGAGAGCTAATGTTTATCAAATATTTACTGTGCATTAGCCACTGTGTTTTAGACACTTTACATAAATTTTATTTGATCTTTTTAGTGGCCTTACAGTGTTAGCTATATTGGTCTGTTTTGCCGAAATGAGACTTGAGACTCTGGAGAGGTTAAATGGCTGTTATCAGAGTGCTTACTACATCTCTATACCTGGATCTGTGTAACTCTTTGGCCTTTGTTAATTTTATCAGTTGGTTTCCCAATTTGTAGGTCATTGCTGTCCAGCAGACATTTTTGCAGTGATGGAAATCCTGTCTGCCCTGTCCAATTCAATGGCTGACAGCAGCACGTGACTAGGAGCACTTGAAATGTGGCCAGTGAAACTGGGTAACTGAATAGTGGTTTACCTTGCTAGATACTTATGAATCAGAGGTCATTGAGACTCTCACAAATAATAGTCGTATATGAGGTAAAGATACATGTTCTTCATTTGTAAAGAGTACTGCTTTGATTGCATGCTAGATTTAGATGCTATAAATGAATTTTGTAGGTAACTTTAAAAAACCTCAAGATTTCAAGTACTTTTTTTTCTGAATCATTTGAGATTAAGTTGCAGATGTAATCTTATCACTTCAAACAAATACAAGGACAGGGCTTTCTGGTAAACAACTAATAATATTACCATCAAAATCAGGAAATCAGCCAAGATGTATTACTACCATCTATATTCTTAGACCTCATCAAATTTTGCCAGTTTCCATAATGATTTCTTTTGTAACAAAAGAATTCAGAATTCTATGTTA